GACTCTAGTGCTACCAGGTGGAAGTGCTAACCACCTAGCCACTGTGCTACCTGGTGGAAATGCTAACCACCTAGCCACTGTGTTGCCTGGTGGAAGTGCTAACCACCTAGCCACTGTGCTGCCTGGTGGAAGTGCTAACCACCCAGCCACTGTGCTGCCTGGTCGAAGTTCAAACCACCCAGCCACTGTGCTGCCTGGTGGAAGTGCTAACCACCCAGCCACTGTGCTGCCCACAGATACATTGACGCCAAACACAGACAGACAACAAATGTTTTAAAAAGAGAGTCAGCAAAGGAATTCCACATATTTCTCAAACAGCTGGCTCTTGGGAGGAGTTAAGCAAATAACAAAAGGCCTTGATAGATGTAATTTGGGAGGACTGGGTGTTCCTAGCAAGTCTTCACTGACGCACAGACCGCCCAAGGTAACGCCTACATGTGGTGCTGAGCATCCATTATTAAAAGAACAGGAATGAAAAGGGGCAGGCTAGGGACATTCGATCTCGAGAGGAAAGAGCGAATGATGCTGGGTGTCCTTCAGCCAGAAGTCGGTCACCGCTGATCTCCCTCCTTGTGCAAGGTGACTGTTGGTTCAAATCCCAACCACCTGCCTGGAGTCTGCATGTTCTCCCTGTGCCTGCGTGGGTTTCCTCCGGGTACTCCAGTTTCCTCCCACACTCCAAAGACATGCTGTTAGGTGAATTGGCTACTGTCTAAATTGGTCCTAGTATATGAATGTGAGTTAGGGACCTTAGATTTAGATTAGGGTACGCCCCTTGAGGGTTAGGGACCTTAGATTGTACGCCCCTTGAGGGTGAGGGACCTTAGATTGTACACCCCTTGAGGGTTAGGGACCTTAGATTGAGGGTTACGCCCCTTGAGGGTGAGGGACCTTAGATTGTACACCCCTTGAGGGTTAGGGACCTTAGATTGTACTCCCCTTGAGGGTTAGGGACCTTAGATTGTACGCTCCTTGAGGGTTAGGGACCTTAGATTGTACTCCCCTTGAGGGTGAGGGACCTTAGATTGTACGCCCCTTGAGGGTGAGGGACCTTAGATTGTACGCCCCTTGAGGGTTAGGGACCTTAGATTGTACACCCCTTGAGGGTTAGGGACCTTAGATTGTACACCCCTTGAGGGTTAGGGACCTTAGATTGTACGCCTCTTGAGGGTTAGGGACCTTAGATTGTACGCTCCTTGAGGGTGAGGGACCTTAGATTGTACGCTCCTTGAGGGTGAGGGACCTTAGATTGTACGCCCCTTGAGGGTTAGGGACCTTAGATTGTACGCCACCTTGAGGGTGAGGGACCTTACATTGTACGCCCCTTGAGGGTCAGGGACTCATGTGAATGTACAATATATATGTAAAGCGCTGCGTACATTGATGGCGCTATATAAGTACCTGTAATAATGTAGGAGTATGTTGGTTTTGTCCCCAGATAGACACCCCCCATCTCCTTCATGTTCCTTCAGTAAGTTTCCATCCTTCATAGTGGGCAGCAGACTTAGAAGATTATTGTCTCTTCACACTTCGAATGACCGGGGAACATCCCATGTCTGGCATTTTACTGAGTAAGACTGTTGGAATAAACTGGCATCTTATGGAAGAGTTAAATTGTTACTAAACCCACAACAGTACAATCAGTCTGTAGATGCAGTAAAGCATGCTTGTTATACTCACTCATTGGAACCTAAGGGGTTAATCCTCTGCATTGTGTAAAAAGGCTGTCTTCTCTGACCCTCCCCTTCTTCTACTGTCCCCAATCCATCTGCAGATAGAACAGAGCCTTGGGGGCAAGCTGCACATGCTCCGTTTGCTGTGTATTGCTAGAGAGTTTGTTTTTTTTTTTTGGGCAGAGTGCATGTGATCAGCGCACAGGGCCAATCAGCGTTATCAGGTTATGCAGCCTCATAGGGCAATCAGGGGAGAATGAAAACTCCTCCTATTAGCTTTAACCGGTGCTGGGCTGGACACTGATAGAAGTCACAAGACTGCTATATACTGCTGATGAGAAAAGCTATTTAGCAGTTTATATTTACTAAACAATTAAATGTCCATGTTCTGTGCACTGTGGGAGACCAGAACCAGTGAATGCAGGGTCCGGGGAGATCAGATATAGTGAATGCAGGGTCCGGGGAGACCAGATATAGTGAATGCAGGGTCCGGGGAGACCGGATATAGTGAATGCAGGGTCTGGGGAGACCAGATATAGTGAATGCGGGGTCCGGGGAGAGCGGATATAGTGAATGCAGGGTCCGGGGGAGACCGGATATAGTGAATGCAGGGTCCATGGAGAGCGGATATAGTGAATGCAGGGTCCGGGGAGACCGGATATAGTGAATGCAGGGTCCGGGGGGGAGACCGGATATAGTGAATGCAGGGTCCGGGGACACCAGATATAGTGAATGCAGGGTCCGGGGACAGAGCAGATATAGTGAATGCAGGGTCCGGGGGACACCGGATATAGTGAATGCAGGGTCCGGGGACACCAGATATAGTGAATGCAGGGTCCGGGGAGACCGGATATAGTGAATGCAGGGTCCGGGGAGACCGGATATAGTGAATGCAGGGTCCGGGGTGATCGGATATAGTGAATGCAGGGTCCGGAGAGAGCGGATATAGTGAATGCAGGGTCCGGGGAGACCAGATATAGTGAATGCAGGGTCCAGGGAGACCAGATATAGTGAATGCAGGATCCGGGGAGACCAGATATAGTGAATGCAGGGTCCAGGGTGATCGGATATAGTGAATGCAGGGTCCAGGGAGACCAGATATAGTGAATGCAGGGTCCGGGGAGAGCGGATATAGTGAATGCAGGGTCTGGAGAGACCAGATATAGTGAATGCAGGGTCCAGGGTGATCGGATATAGTGAATGCAGGGTCCAGGGAGACCAGATATAGTGAATGCGGGGTCCAGGGAGAGCGGATATAGTGAATGCAGGGTCCGGGGAGACCAGATATAGTGAATGCAGGGTCCAGGGAGACGGATATAGTGAATGCAGGGTCCGGGGAGACCAGATATAGTGAATGCAGGGTCCGGGGAGACCGGATATAATGAATGCAGGGTCCGGGGAGAGCGGATATAGTGAATGCAGGGTCCGGGGAGAGCGGATATAGTGAATGCAGGGTCCGGGGGAGAGCGGATATAGTGAAATGCAGGGTCCGGGGAGAGCGGATATAGTGAATGCGGGGTCCGGGGAGAGCGGATATAGTGAATGCAGGGTCCGGGGGGAGAGCGGATATAGTGAATGCGGGGTCCGGGGAGAGCGGATATAGTGAATGCAGGGTCCGGGGAGAGCGGATATAGTGAATGCAGGGTACGGGGAGAGCGGATATAGTGAATGCAGGGTCCGGGGAGAGCAGATATAGTGAATGCAGGGTCCGGGGAGAGCGGATATAGTGAATGCAGGGTCCGGGGAGAGCGGATATAGTGAATGCAGGGTCCGGGGTTTAAGCTGTCTGTGGAGTGCACCTATTCAGCAAGTGACCATACTGGCTGGATAGACTGAGGTCTAAAGAAGGTATGTCAATGTATAATCCCAGGTTCACACCTAAGCGTTTTCCGCAGCGTTTCAGAAACGCAGTGCAGTCCATTTAACATGATTTCCTATGGGACACGTTCAGATCTCCACGTTTTCACCCGCTGCGTTTTTTGGAAAGGGTCAGGAACTTTTTTGAATGCAAAAAGTTGCATTTTTGTTTCTATAGACTTCAATGGAAACGCTGCAGAAAAGCATGTAGTGTGTTTTTGATGTGTTTTTGATGCATTTTCGCCACGTTTTGTGTTTTAAATCTGCCTTGCAACAAGAATTTTTTTTTTAAACTCATCAAAAACACATAAAAAATGCAGGTGCAAAAACGCAATGCAGAAAAGGGTCAAACACAACCTGCATAGGTGTGATCCTATCCTAAACGCGGTTCTTGAAAAGAGAACAGCGATGATGTCACTGCTACTTTTTCAAGGTAATATCTGGGTTTGCAAAGGCATTTGGTGCGCACAAAGAGAATCTAAAACTTTTGTGCTTTTTTTTTAGGCACATATTTCCATGAAAGTGTTTCTGTCCGGAGATCAGCTTTAAATATCAGATTTGGGAAAAAAACGGGAGGAAAGGTCACATAAGCAGAGAACTTAGCGAGCGCGACCATGAAGATACTTTGTTCCATTTTCCCAGGGAGGAAAACCTGAAAACTGATTGGTCGTTATTGGCGAGGTTGACTCCAGTAAAGATTTTATTCGTCCAGTGTGTATAAACACGCCGCCAGCTTTCCGTTCTCCTCGCCCGTGATTGGCTGCTTCCCAACTCACGTCTCACTGCTTCGGAATTCATGGAAAATGACCAGCTACATGGTGTTCAGCTGCAGCCCTTCCCTCCTTCTCCGCTACAGCACATCCCTGATCAATTACATTCACACCATCGCAGTGTAGGAGATCAGAACCCGGCTACAGGCCCTCGGAAAGATGAGGATTCTTAAAGCTGAAGTTGAATCAAGTTATATATTGCCTTCCCTTGCCTTTTCCTGCCACTAGATGTCCTCAGTCTCACGAACAACACCATTCAATGCACTGTGTCTGAACCCTGGTCATCCCCAGCTTGTGACCATTTTGACTCGCCCTCCAGAGGATTTCCCCCCCTTCCTGACCAGGCCATTTTTTGCGTTACGGCGCTGCGTTACTTTAACTGACAATTGCACGGTCATGCAACGCTGCACCCAAATGCAATTTATCTCCTTTTTTTCCCACGAATAGAGCTTTCTTTCGGTGGTATTTGATCACCTGTGCGGTTTTTTTTTTTGTGCTATAAACAAAAAAACTGACAATTTTGAAAAAAAAAAATATATTTTTGACTTTTTGCTATTAACCACCTCCCGCCCGCCATATAGTGTAATGACGGGCACAAGGTGGTTCTCTCGCTCTGGGAGGACGTCATATGACGTCGTCCTATTCTAACAGCGCATGTGCAGCTCCGGGAGCACGCAGAGCAGCGAGCGGCGGGGCGCTGTGTCCCTTGGACGCAGCGGATCACCGATCCACGGAAAGAGCCGAAGATGTCAGCTCGGTCATGTGATCAGCTGTGTCCAATCACAGCTGATCGCATGTAAATAGGGAAATGGCGGTTATCTGCATTTCTCTCCTCTCGAGCTGTCACGCTGACAGAGGAGAGAGGAGAGCCGGTTATCTGCATTCCTCGGAGGAGACATGTGCACTGATCATCAGGGTACTGATGATCAGTGTGCCCTGATGATTTGTGTAGCCCCAGCAGTGCCACCTGTCAGTGCCAGCTGTCAGTGCTCATCAGTGCCACATATCAGTGCCCATCTGAGCTGCCTTTCAGTGTCACCTATCAATGCCAGTCAGTGACACCTATCAGTGCTGCCAGTCAGTGCCACCTATCAGTGCCAGTCAGTGCTGCCAATCAGTGCCGCCTAACAGTGCCAGTCAGTGCCACCTAACAGTGCCAGTCAGTGCCGCCTATCAGTGCCACCTATCATTGCCATATATGAGTGCTGCCTTTCAGTGCCCATCAGTGCTGCCAGTCAGTGCCACCTATCAGTGCCACCTATCAGTGTGTCAGTGCCGCCTATCAGTGCCCGTCAATGCCGCCTATCAGTGCCGCCTAACAGTGCCAGTCAGTGCTACCTAACAGTGCCAGTCAGTGCCACCTATCAGTGCCATATATGAGTGAGTGCTGTCTTTCAGTGCCCATCAGTGATGCCTGTCAATGCCCATCAGTGCCACCTACCAGTGCCTCCTCATCAGTGCCCATCAGTGCAGCATATCAGTGCCCATCACTGCAGCCTCATTAGCGCACATCAGTGAAGGAGAAAAATCACTTATTTACAAAATTTTATAACAAAAACTAAGAAAACTTTTTTTTTTTTTTCAAAATTTTCAATGGTTTTTGGTTTGTTTAGCAAAAAATAAAAAACCCTGAGGTGATTAAATACCACCAAAATAAAGGTCTATCTGTCTCAAAAAAAATGATAAAAATTTCATATGGGTACAGTGTTGTATGACCGCGCAATTGCCATTCAAAGTGTGACAGCGCTGACAGCTGGACATTGGCCTGGGCAGGAGAGGGGTATAAGTGCCCTGTAGGCGAGGGGTTAAACAAAAAAATTTAAAAAATCAAATTTCGTCATAAATTTAGGCCAAAATGTATTCTGCGACATGTTTTTGCTAAAAAAAAAAAATCCCAATACATGTAAATTAATTGGTTTACGTGTAAGTTAGAGCGTTTACAAATGGCGGTATAGATACCAGGGGTTTTATTTTATTTATTTTTTTTATACTAGTAATGGCGGCGATCAGCGACTCATGGCGGGGCTGTGGCAGGCATTCTGACACTGGGGGGGGGGGGGGAGGGACTGACTGCCACTGGCATCCCCAGTGACACCAATACAGTGATCAGTGCTAATAAAAAGCACTGACACTGTACTAACCCACATGGAAGAAAAATATATTTGAAATATATTTTAAAAATATTCTTCCCAAATATATTGACATTTATTTGAAATGATACAATTTTGGACGTATTCAATATATGTAAAAATATATTTCAATGAAACATGAAATAGTAGGGGCTTGGTTTATAAAAAAAAAAAAAGAAAAAAAAACCTACAGTATATATATATTTATTTATTGAAATATATTTTTACATATATTGAATACGTCCAAAATTGTAGCATTTCAAATATATGTCAATATATTTGGGAAGAATATTTTTAAAATATATGTAAAATACATTTTTCTTCCATGTTGGTCGGTTTATAAAATTAAAGATACAAAAAAAAATTGCATAGCTATTCATCCGGTGAAACTGGCATGTACATTCAGTACGTGTGTGAGGGCAAAAATCGAACATTCTCAGGCTATTTCCTATACAGGTCGAATGTTTCCCCCCCAAAAAAACTTCTCTTAAAACTGCTCCCACCCCCTTATAACGCCTATACTGACTACCCTGTATAAGGAAGATGTACAGTAGATATAAAAAGTCTACACACCCCTGTTACCAGGGGCGGACTGACATGGGGCCCCGGGCTCATGGCCCCTGGTCCTTGCCCCCCGGGTACCAGGGGCATTTCATGGGGCCCCCCTACCAGCGGGACAATCATGGGGCCCCCGGGCAATAGGGGATCCCCTGTGTCCTTGCCCAAACTCAAAAAAGCCTATGAAAAAGGTACCAGGGGCATCTCATGGGGCCCCCTACTGACCCCGTCTGCCCCTGCCTGTTACAATGTCAGGTTTCTGTGATGTAAAAAAAGAGACAAAGATAAATCATTTCAGAACTTTTTCCACCTTTAATGTGACCTATAAAACTGTACAACTCAGTTGAGCAACAAACTGAAATCTTTTCGGTGGAGGGAAGTAAAAATAAAAAAAAAAATAATAATCTGGTTGCATAAGTGTGCACACCCTTACACTAATCCTTTGTTGAAGCCCCTTTTGATGTGATTCCAGGCACTCAGGCTTTTTGGGGAGGAGTCTATCAGCATGGCACATCCTGACTTGGCAATATTTGCCAGCTCTTCAAAAAACACTCCGAATCTGTCAGATTGCGAGGGCATCTCCTGTGCACAGCCCTCTTCAGATCACCCCACAGATTTTCGATCGGATTCAGGTCTGGGCTCTGGCTGGGCCATTCCAAAATTTTAATCTTCTTCTGGTGAAGTCGCTCCTTTGTTGATTTGGATGGATGCTTTGGGTGGTTGTCATGCTGAAAGATTAAGTTCCTCTTCATGTTCAGCTTTCTAGCAGAACCTGAAGGTTTTGTGCCAGTAATGGCCGGTATTTGGAACTGTTCATAATTCCCTCTACCTTGACTAAGGCCCCAGTTCCAGCTGAAGAGAAACAGCCCCAAAGCATGATGCTGCCACCACCATGCTTCACAGTGGGTATGGTGTTCCTTTGGTGATCTGCAGTGTTGTTTTTGTACCCAAACATATCTTTTGGAATTATGGCCAAAAGTTCAACCTTGGTTTCATCAGACCAGAACACATTTTCCCACATGATTTTGGGAGACTTCAGATGTGTTTCTGCACAATTTAGCAGGGCTTGGATGTTTTTCTTTGTAAGAAAAGGCTTCCGTCTTGTCACTCTACCCCATAGCCCAGACATATGAAGAATACGGGAGATTGGTGTCCCATGGACCACACAGCCAGGACTTGCCAGATATTCCTGCAGCTCCTTTCATGTTGCTGTAGGCCTCTTGGCAGCCCCCCAGACCAGTTTTCTTCTTGTCTTTTCATCCATTTTGGAGGGATGTCCAGTTCTTGGTGATGTCACTATTGGTGATGTCACTGTTGGTGATGTCATTGTAGGTGATGTCACTGTTGGTGATGTCACTGTTGGGGATGTTACTGTTGGGGATGTCACTGTTGGTGATGTCACTGTTGGGGATGTTACTGTTGGGGATGTCACTGTTGAGGATGTCACTGCTGGGGATGTCACTGTTGGGGATGTTACTGTTGGGGATGTCACTGTTGGGGATGTCACTGCTGGTGATGTCACTGTTGGGGATGTCACTGTTGGGGATGTCACTGTTGGGGATGTCACTGCTGGTGATGTCACTGTTGGTGATGTCACTGCTGAGGATGTCACTGTTGGGGATGTTACTGTTGGTGATGTTACTGTTGGTGATGTCACTGTTGGTAATGTCACTGTTGGTGATGTCACTGTTGCGTCATATTTTCTCCACTTGATGATGACTGTCTTCACTGTGTTCCATGGTATATCTAATCCCTTGGAAATTCTTTTGTACCCTTCTCCTGACTGATACCTTTTAACAATGAGATCCCTAAGATGCTTTGGAAGCTCTCTGCGGACCATGGCTTTTGCTGTAGGATGCGACTAAGAAAAGATCTACTAGAACAGCTGAACTTTATTTGGGGTTAGTCAGAGGCACTTTAAAATCTTATGTCTAAATGCATTTTTTTTAGATGTTCAAAAATATCTGGAAAATATATTTTGAAAAATATATTTTTAAATAATATGCCTTTGGTTAAATATATCTTAATTTACATTTTTGGAATACATGTTAAAATATATTCACGTAGGCCAATATAGTGTAAATATGTGTTGCATGTATAATTTTTTTTTTCTAAATATACTGAAAATATATTTCTCTTCTATATGGGTAGGGTGGCGGGCAAGCGGTTCATATAAATTAATTTATTTTGTGTTGCAAAATTTTAAAAAATCTGGTTTCTGCGTCTGCATGTGTAGCCTGTAGTTTTGGTGTCATGATATCACTGTTGGGGTTGTTACTGTTGGTGATGTCACTGTTGGGGATGTTACTGTTGGTGATGTCACTGTTGGGGATGTTACTGTTGGTGATGTCACTGTTGGGGATATCACTGTTGGGATGTCACTGTTGAGGATGTCACTGTTGGGGATGTTACTGTTGGGGATGTCACTGTTGGGGATGTCACTTTTGGGGATGTCACTGTTGGTGATTGTTACTTTTGGGGATGTCACTGTTGGTGATGTTACTTTTTTGGGGATGTCACTGTTGGTGATGTTACTGTTGGGGATGTCACTTTTGAGGATTTTGTTGGCGATGTCACTGTTGGCGATGTCACTGTTGGCGATGTCATTGTTGGGGATGTTACTGTTGGTGATGTCATGCTATGTGGGGATGTCACTGTTGGCGATGTCACTGTTGGCGATGTCACTGTTGGCGTTGGGTCATTGTTGGTGATGTCACTGTTGGGGATGTCACTGTTGGGGATGTCACTGTTGGGGATGTCACTGTTGGTGATGTCACTGTTTGTGATGTCACTGTTGCGTCATATTTTCTCCACTTGATGATGACGGTCTTCACTGTGTTCCATGGGATATCTAATGCCTTGGAAATTCTTTTTGTAGCCTTCTCCTGACTGATACCTTTTAACAATGAGATCCCTCTGATGCTTTGGAAGCTTTCTGCAGATCATGGCTTTTGCTGCAGGATGCGACTAAGAAAAGGAAAGACCTACTAGAACAGTTGAACTTCATTGGGTTAATCAGACACTTTAAATGATGGCGGGTGTGTACTGACTCCTATTTAACATGATTTTGAATGTGATTGCTTAATTCTGAACACAGCTACATCCCCAGTTATAAGAAGGTGTGCACACTTATGTAACCATATTATTTTAGTTTTTTTATTTTACTCCCCCCCCACACTAAAAGATTTCAGCTTGTTTTGCAATTGAATTGTACAGTTTATAGGTCACATTAAAGGTGGAAAAAGTTCTGAAATGATTTCTCCTTGACTCATTTTTTTACATCACAGAAACCTAACATTTTAACAGGGGCGTGTAGACTTTTTTATATCCACTGTATATAATTACCTTTACTCAGGTCGCTCCAGTCTGGTCACATGATCTCCCCATCATCAGCCAGCGCCGGCTACGGGGTAAAGGAGAGAGCGCTTGACAACAGATTGGTGATGTCACCCCTAGGCTTACGATGGGC